AGTGGATGGAGAACAGGGTGATAAAGGTGAAAAGGGAGACGCGGGGGAGAAGGGCTACTGCGGGGAGCCAGGGGGAAAAGGTGCAAAGGGAGAAAGAGGGGAAGGGGGCATGAAGGGAGAAAAAGGGAACAAAGGGGAGATGGGGGTTGAAGGTATTTCAGGGGCAGATGGAAAACAAGGAGAAAAGGGTGAGCAAGGAAGTAAGGGTGAAAAAGGGGACCTTGGACCTGCTGGTGTGACAGGACCTTCTGGGCCCAAGGGGGTTGCTGGCAGCAAAGGGGGCCGAGGGGCTCCAGGAAAGAAAGGCTCCCGTGGGGCGAAGGGTGCCCGAGGGGACACTGCAAAGCTCCTGCGATCAGCATTCAGCGCTGGCATGTCCAAGCCCTTCCCTCCACCCAACGTCCCCATTAGATTTGACAAGATATTGTACAATGACCAAGAAGATTACAACCCTTCCACCGGGAGATTCAACTGCAGTGTGCCTGGCACGTATGTCTTTGCCTACCACCTGACAGTGAGAGGGCGCCCAGCCCGCGTCAGCCTTGTCGCCCGCAGCAAGAAGGTGGCCAAAGCCCGTGAGACACTCTATGGCCAGGAGATTGACCAGGCATCCTTCCTCACCATCCTGAAGCTCAGTGCAGGCGACCAGGTGTGGCTGGAGGTTGCACGGGACTGGAATGGGGTCTACGTCAGTGCTGAGGATGACAGTGTCTTTACAGGGTTTCTTCTGTATCCAGATGTTTTTGAGAAACTGCTATAGATTTAAAGGTCAAAGATGTTACTGAGAAACGTGCTTTCCCCTCTGTTTGTGAGAGGAGAAATGAGCTTCAGTTTAGCATATTGGTTTAGTTGGTAGGTTTTGTGATCTTTCAACAAAAACATATTTGCAATATATGGATTAGTTTTAACTAGCAGCCCCAAGAAGTGGCACATCCTTTGTGCAGATGGACGATGGCTAAGAGAAACTGTTGTCCAAACACCAGCAGAACCATTATGGGGAGCAGATTTCACATAATAGACCTCAGGTTTCTAAGTAGCCTATTCAAATTATGTAATGAAACTCATTGTCCAACTGCAATTTTAATCAGGCCAGCTTCTGCAACCCTTGCATGGTCAAAACGCCTCTGGAAGTCAGTACTGAAAACCACTGGTTTTGGTAAGGACTGCAGAGTTTGATTTATAGAGCTTAATCAGATGTGAACATAAGCAGTAGGTTTCTTGAAATCACATGAAAAGATTTAAAGTTATTTTATCATTGAATCGGTATTATCTAGTGCTCTAGACTTCATCATGAGTTATATGAAGGTTTGCCTGAAAGATTACTAGAGCTATTTGATCAGCGTAAAAAAACCTAACTATTGTCCTTAGGCAAAGATATAGCTGAAACTTTCAAAAGTAACCGAGATGCATAATCCGCCTTATTAGTCTACTCAGAACCCCCCCATTTCTGAGCTGCTGCTGATTCAGCCGTTTCTGCAAGGTGGAGGGGGGGGCAGGCAGGCTTTGGCACTCTCCCCAGGCCTAAGGCATTGTGACAGACCAGGGGAAGTGGGGGCACGTTTTAGAAAAGCTGGCTTGCCAAAATGGAACTGAATCTTGTGAAATAAAAATATGACATTGAATAATCTCTGTATGTCAGATTGGATATGTTTCCTTATTAATGCACCTTCTGTCATTGCAGTAACTTTACACCACCTTTGGCATATTAGCTATGGCACAAAAATCGTTCCAATCAGTCTTTTTTTAAGAAATTAAACTCAAGTCCCATGGTTAGCCTTCAGTACCACTGGGATTTACTTGGCTTCTCAGGCAGTCACAAGCCTGGGACATTTCCTAGGGTTTTGGCAAATTCTGGGTCTGACCCCAACAAGGACAGGGTGGATTAGGCTGCCGTTCCCATTGGTCTTAACTTTCCTTGCTTAAATTGCCATGGTGCTTTCCATACCATATTCAAATAGCATCATAAATCACGTCCCCATCTCTAATGTCCTCTTTTTACATGGCACCAAGATGAAGTGTTCTTGAGACATTTTTTATCCGCTGGGAAAATGAACAGCAGAGAACTACTGTTAAATTTTAAGATAAAAACAACACAACTTTAAAAGGCTGGTCCTATCTATCTGGTAAATGTAAAGGGTCCTTCAGCTTGCCAGCTCTGCAGCCCTCTTTCAATATCAGCAATTTAAATGTAAGATCTACTGGGTTTCTCAAAAAGTTGGTACTTAATTTGGTGCTTAATCTGAGTTACTTCCTATGTAGTTCAAATCCAGAATACTAAGTATATAAAAGATGCAGATTTCAGTTTATGAATTCTCTGGCAGCTGTTAAATATTGAGGAAAACCAAGTAGTTGTAATAATAATTTTAGATTGCTGCTGTCACAACACCCTCAATTCTTTTGTTGTGCTTTCATGCTGCTTCGCATACGGCCCCTGTAACAGATGGTGGGATATAGGCATCAGACTAGCAATTTTCTCCTGCTGAAGTTTCTTACACTTTTAGCTCAAATAACCTCTACAAAAGAAAGGCTGAAAAATTGAGGGTCTCTCAAGAACCTGCTCATATCTAGTCCTCTCCATAAATTAACTGCTTGGTGCTCCAGAGAAAGACAGGGCTGGCAACACCGTACAACCATAACAGCACCTGCTTCTTTTGAAAAAATTCTGCCAAGGTGCTCCGAGAGCAGGTTAACAGGAGCAGCTGGAGACACCTTAGGCTATGCAAGGTCTGAACTCCAGATCCTGGGGAAGAATGCGGGATGCTTTTAAGACAATCTGACCGATTTCTAACCTCCCCATAATGGATGTGGGAGGGCTGTGATGGTAGTTTGTGCTGGTACCTGTGCTAAGGACTCATTTTATCATTAACCAAATAACAGTGGAAGGGATTTCTGCCTGAAACCCTGACTGGGAACGCAATAAGCATGCATACAAGCTACTGAAATAACACACAGCACTTTCATGCTAATAAATTTCTCAGGGTCTATAGCTGTGCCAGTGGTACTTTTAGTTTAATTTAAAGTGTTGATATTTATTTTGAAAACAGGTTTTTTTTAATAATTTAATTAAAATACATTAAGCAAATACCTTGCAAAGTTGAGTGTGTTAAGCACAGTGTGGGGCAGTTTGGATAAATATGGGTCTTTGTAGAGAGGGAGTTCTCTTTATGTAATATCAAATTGAATCAACAAGAATGCCTGGAAGATATTGATTCTCTACATTACTATTTTTTCTACTTTGGTATCTTGGCCAAACCATGTGTTGTTTGTTAAACAAATACCTTTAATCAGAATAGTCCACAGCTGGGCTCAAAAATTGCCTCAAATCAGCTGAAATTTTCACTTCAAAAAAATGTACACACCTCCTCCTTTTACACACAGAGACTCAGGTGGGCTGATGCTTCAGTAAGCTTTTTCTGTCTTTTAAAGGCCATATGAAGCCTCCCTGCTCAAAGGGTTTCAGAGCTTTAAACACAGCAGATGTTCAGGATGGGGTGAAATGAAGAAGGGGAACAGAGCTGCTGACCAGCTGGGTACCTCTGCTTGCTGGGGCCTGGGCTTTACCCTTTTCTGACAGCTTTCAGGTAGCCTCCCCAATACCATCTGCCTAGAAAACATCAATCCAAGCCATTTTCCATTTTAAAACATCTTTTATTTTTTTTTTTTTTCCCCAGTAGCATTTGCAATCTCACTGCTGTGGGGCACTTTGGTGAAGTGTTCTGTTGCAACAACCTTCAACAGAAGCAAACTGCTCTATGGCAAGTTTTGAAGTATTAGAATAATCTCTTATTTTTTATATGGTTTTCCTCATTTTTCATTCCCTGTCAGAACAACAGTGAATGAACTGATTGAGGATGTGCCTTGTCTCATTAAGTAGCACTGCTAAAAATGCCAAAATATTTGTTCCATTTCACTTGTGCTTCTACTTAGCACAGATTTATTTTGTAACACCAAGTGTCTCCTATCTGTGTTGCAATGGAGCAATTTGACACTGGTATAAAAGAAAATAAATGCTCAGTGTACTAATCAGAAGAGCAGCTGTTTTCGATAACCAAGAAAAATTATTCCAAGCTGACATAAGGCCATAAAAAGCAGCTGCTTCTTTAATTAGGATGTGTAAGGCTAAATATGCAGGAGGATTTGGGTGCCTTGCTAGTAAAAATGTACTGGAGCTCTGCATTAGGCAACTTAGCCCTCTATGTAAAACCGCTCTTTCTACCTCAGAAAACAGTATGCTGGTGGGAAGGAAAATAATTCTTGATACTTTAATAAGGCTCCTGGCACAGCATTGCTTTATGCCATTGCTTTCATCTCAGTGTAAATAAAGTACCTGGAGTGGTGTCCGAGCAGTGTTGAATCACACTCTCAAATGGCACAAATCATGCTGCAGTCACCTCTAATGAAATTACAAAGCTGTTCTGATTTCCTGAGAAAATCACCAGTTTTCTGGTATTTTTTATGTCTTTTCATCCCTATCTCAGGTGTTGCACCAATACCATAGTATGAGCATTTACTTTTACTAAGAGGGTGTGAGGCCCTGGCACAAGTTGCCCAGAGAAGCTGTGGCTCCCCCATCCCTGGAAATGTTCAAGGCCAGACTGGATGGGGCTTTGGGCAACCTGGTTTAGTGGAAGGTGTCCCTGCCCATGGCACAGGAGGTTGGAACAATCTTTAAGGTCCTTTCCAACCCAAACCATTCTAGGATTGTCACAATTTTGTTGGTGGGTCTCTGGTTTTTGCTCAGAGTAATGTAAGAGGCACCATCCTACACCAAGTAACTCTGCTCTCCCTGTGCTTCTTACTTTTGTTCTCTAGCTTTCCAGATGCCCTGTGCTCCTGAAAGTCACTACTTGCTTTCAGGCATCTTGTCTTGCTCACCAGCTGAGCTGAGTTTGCCCCAGAACGAAGCCCACCTGCAAAGTCTGAGGGCTGCTCTGTTGGTTAATAAAAGAGGTAATATCCTAGTAGCTTGGAATCCTGTATCTCTTTAGGAGCAGAGATTGTGCCTGGTGGTTCTGGGTGGTGGAAGGCAGACGTCCTTGGTGAAGTCTTCCTCCTGGATTGATGTGCTGTGTCTCAGGCAGCAGCCAGGTATGTGGGTGCTTGCTGGTAGACTGCTTTGGTTGAAAATTGATGTATTTTAGTGAAGGCATGCTGACTTCAAGGTAGAAATTCATAAGAAGTTTGAAAGCACAATAATCCAAATTGAGGTATTTCAGCTGAAATATGTCTTGTATTTTCAGAGGTCTGTAACTTTGTTTACAGTGTGGCTGCAGAAAGACTTTCTCCCTTGAAAGGAGAAAAAGCATCCTTTGATGTGAATTAAAATGGATTATAGTGCAATCGCTGCCAGTTACCTGGTATGCTTGTAAAGCGCTGGAGCTTCTTAATAGGGGATATTTATCAAGCAGTGCGTAGGCTGGTATTGTTTTCTAGATATAGCCACCATTATTTATTCACAGTAAGAGCTCTGTCACAGTTTTATGTGCCCTGTCTGCAAAGCTGTACCTCTGAGGCTGGAGTTTCAGAAACATTATTTGAAATAGTTTCAGAATGGCAGAGTAGTGCACCACACAACAGTTTAATTTCAAAATGAAAAGGGTTTGTTCTTCATGATGTTGCAAGGTCTCTTTTAACAACAACTATAGTCTTCTACAGAGGTACCTGAATTTTGATATATATGTTGAAAGTCCCCAAACAATCTTTTTTGGGTAAATTTGAAATCACTTTGTGCATTTTTAATGGCTTCTTTGAATGTCTTTTTTTTTATTTTTTTTTTTTTTAAGAACATTCAAGTGGGGATTTTCTGTCTTAATGGAAAAGCTTTCTGGGTGTCGTTCCATTTGCTGCAGCCAGAACTTTCCTATTTTGCTGTAGATGGAAGGAAAATGCACTGGCTTTGCTTTAACTAATCTTTCTCAATTTAAGCTTTGTTTTTCAACCTCCAATCCAGTTTGTTTCATGGTTGAGACTCTGCAAATTTTGACTCAAATTAAAAACAAAATAATAAAAAAATCATGGAACAGAGATCTCAGAAGTTTTCCATTAAACATGTATTTGTGTGAGTGTTAATGTCTGGTAGTTACGTTAAAGCCTATCAAATTAGGCAAAAAATTGAATGTTGTTTGAGAGAATAAACTCATAAATAACTTCATTTTCTGGTATTTGATTGAAAAGCTCCATGCAGCTGGTTCCACAGAACTCAAACCCTGTTTATGGTCAATGGATTTAAATACTCCCCCCCCCCCAAAAAAAAACCAAACAAAACACCAAAACAAAAAAGCAACCAAAAGCAAGCAACAAAAAATGTGGGGAGGACACAGGGCATTTTGGTTAATGTAAACCTTAAATGCTTGTTTCTGGGTATGCACCTTTGTGCTTGCATGTGCCAACGCACATAGGTGTTTTGATGTCTGTATATTTCCTATGGGGTCATGAATGGTAGGAAGGCCCTGCTTTTACTACTTATGTTCAGGGTGTCTAAATGGTGATTGAACCTCCTGTAGACAGTTGACCCCTGTAAACCCCATGGCTGTGCTGTCATGAATGTTGTTGGCCGTGGCTAGCAGAAATCACAGTGCAAATCCTGGGATTGCCTGTTCAATTCATCATGACAAGTGCAGTTATTAAATATACTTGTCATATAAACAGGAAAAAATTAAGTCTGATCTAAAGGTGCAGAGGTAGTGGGAGAGGAAGAGAACAGGAAAAGAGGTTAAAATGTCTTATTTCAAACATATATGCAGCATTTTTCTAAAAATATTCCAGTTCTGTCCTAATTGCAGTAAACAAGGTGGTGATCTGGGTTCCCTGCTGATGTGTTTGACTGAATTCAATGAGGTTCCTGAGACTTGTATCCCTGTTGAGTCTGGACCTGTGTATTTACGAAGAGAGCAGATAAGAGGAACAGTGGGGTTTTGGGGAGCCTATGGTTTGGCTCTGCTTGAAGTCAATGAAGCTAATGAATATGGTTACAAACTACAGCATGTGGAGTTTAAAGGAACATGGTGAATAGAGCTGGGTTTTTTGGGTTGTTTTTTGTTGTGTGTTCTGTTTTGTTTTTTTTTTAACACATTTAGATTGCAGTTGTGTCCTAGTAAAACAATGAAGGGAAGCTTGTTAGGGGAAAATGTTGGAGTGATGAGCAGCACTTAGAAGAACTGAGCACTAAATCCCTGTTGCACTTCAAGGGAAATTGAGGCAAAGGAAGACTTGTTTCTTTCAGTGTTCTTGCTGTTGATAGAAATAATTTATAGGAACAAAGTTGGTATAGGAGTATTTACAAGGAAGAGTATAGTATTATCTGAAGAGATTACAGATCAGGTTTTGGGTATCTGCAGTGTACATACATACATTTATAGCAGGGACTAAAAATGTTATTTACTTTTGTCTCGTTGCTGATCCTTGGCCACTTCCTGTGTCCTCACCATTGTTGTATATGTAACAATCAAATACATCTCTCATCAGTGTTACGCAGCATGACCAAAATATCTTTGTAGTCTGTAATTGTGTTTCCCTACCTCTCCCTGTCTCTTTTTCCAGGTAGGCCTTTTGGAGAAGGTTTTTATCCAGCAGTACTGCGTTCTTAGATCAGAGCTTCCAGAAATGTGTTTTTCAGTGAACTATTTTACTTGTCAAGGCACAGCTTCAGAGAAGAACTCTAATTCTTGCTCTGCATAATTCAGTGCAGGGTTGGGGCCTTTTTTTCATTTGCATGCTGTGTGTGAGAGCAGTTCAGCAAACTCTCAGCTGCTGCTGCTTCTGTGGGGGAACCAAGTCTTTCTTCCCCCACTAGTGTTGCTGAAAAGCCTGGGTTAATTTGGATGAAAATGGAAGATTTTCTTCCTAAAGATCATTGCTCCTTACTCAAGATTGCAGTAGAGCAGGAGGGGATAAAATATAGCTTGGAAATGTATGGTCAGTTTTGATTCCTGTTTTTCTGGTGGATGTGGTGTGAAACAAATGATTCATTTTCTTTTTTGGCAGCCCCTCTGAGATGATAGAAATGCTTGACTCCCGTTCCTGCTCCAAGGAGCTTTCATTTCAAGTGTGTGTTGGAAGACAGAGCATCTGAAGTGAGGTTTTTATTTTTATTTAATTTTTGCAAAGGGGCTGATGTGTGTGGTCTCTTAGCCCAGTTCTGTCTTTTTTGAGAAGCCAGGCAGATGTCTGGGAGAGTAGATAATCAGATAAAGCTGCTTTTTCTTTCTCTTATGTTCTTCTGTTAAGAGATCAACGTAAACATGTTTCTTCTGGACAGCGTAACACTTAAATGCTTCTCTCTTAGAAAGAGCCACAAGGCAGTGGAGAAATCGCTGGTGTGCCTTTTTGCCCTGGCAAAGGGAACATACATTCTTGCTCTATGATTAAACTGTCTCCATAGTTGTTTCTTGCCTGCCTTTATCTCTGTGCTTCTTCTTTCTATACCTAAACCCTAAGCCTATTGCTCCCTCATGACAAATCAATAATTCGTAAGTAAAAATTACATCTGTGGAGTACTGTGCTGAGTCACCAAGGGCTTGGAATACTGAAGCTTGCTATGAAGATGAAGTCATAAAACAAGCACTTGGTTTTATTTTAGTTGGATTGTGATTCAAATGAATAATACTCTGTGGTGGTTGTGTAATATTATTCTGACATTTCTAGTTATCTAAGTAAACTGTCATTGCTCCATAAGAATTTATTAAGCTATAGGGTATTCATAAATATGTAGCTAGCTTAATATGATTGTTCATCAGTTTGATATTGAAAGGGCACCAACCTAGTCAATAAAGGTATCTGTCTCAGTGTCTCTTTAATTTTAAAGAGTCAATAAAATGTCAGGATAATACAATCACTTTGTAACCTAAATTGTTATTTTTTCACTTTGATTCTTGCCCTTTTTCTTTTGGTATTCAGCTGCATAACACAGGCCAGTAAATTGGCTTTAAAGGTGTAAGATTGGGGTTATGGAGGATACTTTTATAAACACAAATTGTAATAATTCAGATTCAAAGCAGTTATGGCCCCAGAGAACACATCTTGCTGGATGAAACTGTTATCGGCCTGTTCAGAATGTTTTCTTTTTAAATGAAGCAGCTTGGAGCCATGGAAAGTACAGCTGAAACTGCAGGAGACTTTGCAAATGGGACGAAATGGTGACATAAACTTCACCAGTTTCAAAGTCCTTAGTAAGCTCTTTGGTATCAAAACAAAATAAAATGCCTTGTTAAACTAAAAGTCATCTTAAAGCTTTCAGGATCTCCATGGCATGCAAATCACAGCTTTTCCAAGTCAACATTACTGAAGTTTAGCTGACGGTGACTACTTTTGTTCTAGGATCAGTTACAACAGTTGAAGATAGTGGTGGTTTTCCCCTCTCAAGATCCCCAAAATAAAATAATCAGGGATTCATCAGTTTCTAGAATGAACATGTTCAGTATTTATAACACATGGATGCTTAGGGTGACTGCCTGCTTGTATAGGAACCTGGACTGAACTTCAGTGAGTTATGTGAGTGAGCTGTGCTGCCATTACTGCCTTGCTCAGGAGGTACCTTGATCACCACAGACATGAATGCATGCACAGAGCATATGTTAGAGCATCTAACAGAGGTGTTTGCTCTTGGTGTTTGGGAAGGTCTCTGCAGGGCCTGGTGAGCTCTGGTAGAGCCACACATGCTGCATGGAAGAGAGGAAAAAACTTCAATCAACTCTTTTACCCTCTGCTGGAGCATTATTTTTAAAATAAGCTGTGGAGCAGCCAGCAGAATTGCTTATTTTCTTACCTATTTCACATGTACCAATGTGATCTTCAGCCAATTTGCCATAAAATATGGATTGAAAGGCTCCAAAATATGTGATGGAAGCTGACATTTCTCAAATTGCATAGCTGCTCTGCTTCTGAAAGCTGATGAGCAGGATGGCAGCACAGGGCTCCCTTTAGCTTTACCTGTTTCCCTGTAGTGAGAAGAGGATGAGAAACATCTCTCCAATAGATGCAGCCAGTGTTGGGGCTAGTTCAGACTGAACAAATGCCACAGATAAGAACTTTTTATGGACTCATCTGTAGTTTGATACAGTTACTTGGGAGGACCTAATTACACAAGAAAG